CACACACACGAGGTGGTACACATACAACTGCCCAACCTAGTGCCACTTACCCACAAGGGCCAACAGGACCAGGCCTCCAGCCTGGTCTCTCACACACACACACACACACACACACACACACACGCACACTGGGCCTGTGCTAATCACATCCATTCCCAGACCCACTGGCACCTACCCTCAGGCCTTGACAGGGCCGTTCTGCTACCTCCATTCAGCTGCTCCCTCACCTCCCACAAGACTTTGCTTCCAGAAGAAATCATTTTACGGTCTCCCCGAGTGACAGGCAGTTGGAACCAGGCACAAGACACCAAAAATAATGGACAGCCCAGCACCAAGGTATAACCTGAGGCTCTGCATAAATTTTCACTGAGTAATAGAAGTGGTTTTATTTATCATCATGGATCCAGGAACAGAGAAATCCTCCATGACACGGTAGGGCTTGTCATCTATAATCCTGTGCTGATTCATTTTCTGGTCATTTTTTTTAAAAAAAAACACAATAGTTTATTGATTTTTAGAGACAGAGGGAGAGGGAGAGAGAAACATCTATGTGAGAGCACGACATCCATCAGCTGCCTCCTGCATGCGCCCTACCCGGGATGCAGTCCACACTCAGGCATGTGCCCTTGACCAAGAATGGAACCAGCAACCTTCTGGTGCATGAGATGATGCCCAACCAATTGAGCCGCACCCGCCGGGGCGAGCATGTTTTGAACTTTACTACAGGTGTTTTTTAAATTGTTAAAAAAAAATCCTGCCTTTTCCAGAGGCTTTTCCAGACCACCCTGCTGCGGAGCCCTCATCCCGACTCCACTCCGCCTTTCCTCCAAGGCTCACAGCTTCCTCCTGCCTCCCTAAGGGTCTGCGCACTGTTCGTGCTCCACCCCATCTCCAGTGGAGCATCAGCTGCACAAGGAGAGGCACTCGTCCATTTTATTAACTCTGTGCCCTGGGGCCTAGACATAGCTCTCGGGGCCAAAGCATGTTCCCCGAACTGTTGAAGTGGATACCCAGGCTCAGCTGGCCCACTGGTCCCACTTTCTCTCCTTTTCACTGACACACACACATTTGCACACACCCATGACTCCCTCACAAGTGATATACTTGTCAGTGAGGGAGCCCAGTTCCTCCCCCAGGGAGAAAGGGAAGGGGAAGGGGGGTGAGAGAACAGAGGAAGAGGTGGAATGGGCCTGATGTGGATCACATGGAGGGAGAAAGACTGAGAATGAGAGAGCTCAAGGAGGTATGTACTAGTTTGTGCACCAGTACTAGCACGGACACATACACACATGTACTCACACACACACTCACACACACACACACACACACTCACACACACACACACACACACACACACACTCACACACACACACACACTCACACACACACACACACACTCACACACACACACACACTCACACACACACACACACACACACTCACACACACACACACACACACACACACACACACACTCACACACACACACTCACACACACACACACACTCACACACACACACACACACACACTCACACACACACACACACACACACACACACACGGCATAGGGGGTGAGGGATGGGATTCTGCAGCTGGGGCAGCAGTTACGTCAATGGTGCAGATGCCCAAGCAGCGATGATGAAAAGGCTGGTACCTGCTCGTTGGCACGGGGCAGGAGCAGGGCTTAGAGTGATCACAATAACTGGATGGGGAGAAGGAAGAAAAAAAAACACAACACGACAATAAATCACAGCAGAAACAACCGATTTGTCCAAAAGAAAAGAAATCAAATCATAATGAGGAGGAGGGGGAGGTGCAAGGCACCAAACTGCAGAGATGGGTAGAAACTGACAGATGGGCGGACTGGAAGGATGGGATGGAGCTGACACAGACACAGATGCCTAGAGTGGGGCTCTCAAGGGCCTGCCCGCCTTGGGCCTCACTGTGCCTCATTCTGCAACTGGACAGCCACCCCATAAGGCTCCTCAGGTCCCATACCCAACTCTGCCTTGTTCATGCTGGGGGATCAGGGGTGGGAGGGACCGTGCAGCACTGCAGAGCCCAGCGTGGACCTCCAGTCCTTGCTGGGCTTCCTGCCCCAGGTCACCAGTGTCTAATGTCAGCATCGCCGCTTCGAAGCTTTCTCTGGGCCCCCCGGAGACCCTCTCATGGAGGAACCCAAGCTGACCCAGAAGGGAGGGGTGGGGAGTGGGCCCTACACAGGGACTGGGGTGGGTTTCAGGCTGTGAAGGTCAGGCTGGGTGAGTAGCGGGTAGTTGGGAGTACTGAGATATAGGGTGTCTTCCTCCTCCTGCCAGGATGATGCCATGGGAGCTACTTAAGCTACAAGGGTCATATCAGAGAGGACATTAAAGAAGGCCTTTGTGGGAGAGGGAAATCTGATGCCCTCCAGCTGCGAGAGGACTTGAGGAGGGGTTCTGTGGGACACAAGACTAAATGTAATCATGGTGATTCCGGGGCAGGTGGGGGTATTGGAGGGACAACTCTTGATTCCAGGTGACAAGATGCCAGGAAGGTACACACGGAGATGGTGGAATCAAAAGAGACATATGTGAGTGCTGAGATGCATAATGATGAGACAGAAACATTGATGTTATTGATGCATTTTGGGCTCAATGACTTCTTCCCCACACACCCATAGGGTTAGGGTTAGGGTTAGGGTTAGGGTCGGTATGGGTGTGTGGGGAAGAAGTCATTGAGCCCAAATGACAAAGTCCTCAGACTGGAGGCTGGGTGTGCATTTTTGAGGAGCTAGACACAGTCACCGAGATGGTGGTAGTGAAACCGGCCAGAAGAGTATGCAGGGGCCTGGTGTGTGTGGATAGTGGCAGGGGGCTGCTGAGCAATGACAGTCCAACTGGGGAGGAGTACCCAAGTCACAGGGAGGGAGGGGGAGAATCATCAGGTCAGAGGGGAAAGGGGGGTTATATGTGGTCAGGTGACCTCAGGTGTCCCCAGGCCAGGTGTGAGTGGATCACCCCTTGAAGCCGATGACAAGGACCCAGGAGTGGAGGGGGGTTAGGGTTCTCTTAACAGTCACTGCGATGGAGGGAGTGGAACCATCTGGTCAAAAGGGATGAGTGCGAGTTTGCTGGGGGACCTGGATGCAGTCACAGTCGCATGGGGTGGAGGAAGCACGGCTCACAGTAGGTGGCGGAGGCTCCGCAGGTCACGGTGATGGGGGCAGGTCATCAGGTGGGGTAACATCACCTGGAGCCGGGTCACTAGCCTCTCAGGCCCCAGAAAGGTGCATTCCCCCAGGTGGGAGGTCCGTCCGGGAGCCCGCCAGCCCCTAGGCGCGGGGTCACCGTGACCCTCTCCACGCGAGCAGACAGCTGGGGGGAGCGGCGAGGAGAAGCGAGCGCGCTCCGGAAGGGGAGGCGGGGCCTGGGGACGTGGGCGGGGCCTCCCGCCGAGCGCGCCCCGCCCCCGCCCGCCCCCTCCCCCACGCCGCCGTGCTTACTGGGCCTGGGCCGCTGGGGGCTGATATCCAGGTTGAGGTCGATCCTCCGACGGGCCTCGCGGTTCTCCTGCTTCAGTTTCGCTTCCAGGCGGGACAACTTCTGCTCCAGGGAGGACGCCGCCATCTTCCCCGCCGCCGCCGCCGCCGCCGCGCACCGCCGGCCGCCCGGCCGCCCGTCAGCCCGGCAGACAAACACCGCACTGCGCCTGCGCCTGGTGACCCCGCCGAGCCGCCGTCCCGGCCCGCTCAGCGCATGCCCGCGGCCCCGCGTGCGGAGCTCCGCGCGTGCGTGCGGCGCCCCAGCCGGAGCGAGGACGCCACCTAGAGCCCGAGGCTGGCAGCGTGCGAGCCTCCCGCCGAGGAGCTCTGGTGCGAGTTCCCGGGCGCTCTGGGGAGCCGCGCTGCACGGAAGCCACATCCCGCGTTCTGCACGGCGATGCCTGGGCAGGGCGGGTGGAGGAGCGACGCGGGAGCCAACACCGGGGAGACGAGGGCTGCGGTGTAGGCTCTGGCTATGGCGTTGTCGCGAGTGGTCACCGCGGCTGTGTCCTTAAGTCTTGGCCGTTTCTGGCTGGGCCGTTTCTGACACCCATGCCCTCTCAGAACTCCTCTCTCACCTCGGACAGATTTCAGGATGATCCGTTATGCATAATTGCTGCCTCCTCATAATTAGGCAGCCGCGGGAAGCCTCTTCCATTTCAGCAAGCTCAGGATGGGCCAAGGGCAGGAGGAAGAGGCGGGGGTAGGAAGGGATGGGGGCCCTGGGAACCCTGCGGCGTGACACCTGGCCAAAAGTCAAGGCTCGAGTTCCAGGTCAGGCTAGCCTGGGACGTTTTAAGACTTTCCCCCCAGAATGTGAGCCCTCCTCCTTGACAATGCAGAGACTGACCCTGGGGTTAGGGTGCCTCTGCCTGGTGTCCTTGCAGCCTGAAGATTCCTTTCACTGGTCTGGAGGTGCTGGGAACATGGCCCCATCTGAAATGCTGGGTCCCTGGAGAGTGGTTTGTCTTTGTTCTAGGGGCCAGGCGGAGGTGGCATTTAGCAGACACCTCGGAGGTGGTGGAGCCCAGGGGGTCGGGGTCACGGTCAGGCAGAGGGCCCCTCTGGTGATGACTGACAGGTGAAGCAGATACAGAAGTATAGAGTGAGCCCTGGCCGGATAGCTCAGTTGGTTAGAGCATCTTCCTGACACACCAAGGTTGTGCGTTCTATCTCCAGTCAGGGCACATACAAGAAACAACCAATGAACGCATAAAAGTGTGAAACAGCAAAAGTTATGTTTTTCTCTCAAGTTGATCAATAAAAATTATAAAAAGTATAGAGTCAGACGGAACCGGTTTAGCTCAGTGGATAGAGCGTCGGCCTGCGGACTGAAAGGTCCCGGGTTCGATTCCGGTCAAGGGCATGTACCTTGGTTGCAGGCACATTCCCAGTAGGGGGTGTGCAGGAGGCGGCTGATCAATGTATCTCATCGATGTTTCTAACTCTATCCCTCTACCTTCCTCTCTGTAAAAAAATCAATAAAATATATATTTTTTAAAAAAGTATAGAGTTAGGAGAATAACAGGGAAGGTATAAGAGGAGGAGTTTTCCAGGAAAAAAAGATATACAGGAGATGCCACCTAATTTCTCCCGATTACCTGAGGTCTCCAGGACAGAGACACATACCCTTTATTGTGGCACTGTGGTTATGGGCCTATAATTGGTCTTGTGAAATGGCTTCGACAACAAGGGTGAACACAGGAAATCGGAATGATAGTTCTGATAATTAGTATTATTTATTTTTTAAAATGTACCCTCCACAGCACGTGTTCTTAATCTGGGGTCTGCAACCCTTAGGGCAGCCATGAAGAGTCCTTTGGGAGTTGATGGTATTTGTTGACTGCCTGAAATTGCAGAATTGTGCATGAATGTGTACACAGGCATTTTCCTGAGGAAGGAGGTGCCCAGCTTTCATCAGATTCTCAAAGGGTCTAGGGACCTACAAAGGGTTCAGAATTCCTGCTCTAGAGAACACCTCTGGAGGTCAGCATTTCCCAACATGCTGCTCTAGGACCACATGCATCAGGGTTACCTGGAGCACTTATTGACAGGCAAGTTCCTGGCCTCGGGCCAAAGCTCCTGAGTCAGTCTTTCAGGGGTGGGGCCTGTGATGTTTTCTGGGAATGTTGATTTTGATATCTTGCCAAATAAGAGAATTAACAACAAGCCAGGGCAGTGTGTGCTGGTCCCTTGTGTCTGTGACACTTTCTTGGGAGAGAACCCAAGATGTAAGCTTTGGTACGGGGGAGAGGATTGAAATCCTATCGGAATGTGTCCTCACCCCCTTTTGTGGCACCGACTGGGCTAGAATGTCCAGGGGGAGGGCAGCAGTTCTGGCCCAGGGCTGAGGCAGGCCAGCCAGCCAAGGCCAAGATGTGGTTTTGGTGTGAGAATCTATGACCGAGTTCATCTCTCCGTGCCATTGCACCCCAAACCCACAGCCTCTCGTCCCAGATAAACCAGTCCCAAGTTCTTGCCTCGGCCCCATGGGCTGACATGACTGCTCCTCTCCTCTCCTGGCCTGGGCCCACCTGGCCACCTCGTTGGTAGAGATTTTGGCATGGAAACATCCAGAAAGCCTCTACTGCAACCTGCCGCTCCCTGGCTTTACTCCTCTTCCATCTTCTCTCGAACCTCTGCTGGCAGCCCCTCATAAAGGCCGTCCTCCACCAGGAGCGCAGCCTTCTTTAGCCCTCTGCAGTTGCCCAGTTCTTCAGGCAGAGCCTCCAACCTGTTGCCCTTGAGCTCCAGGCGGCTGAGGGACCTGAGGTTCCCCACCTGGGGGGACAGCTGAGTCAGTTGGTTGTAGCCCAGCAGTAACGTCCGAAGCTTAGAGCAGAAGAAGATCTCGTCAGGCAGCGTCTCCAGGGCATTGTAGGAGACAGCCAGGTGCTGCAGGTTCTGGAGGAGACCCAGCTCAGGAGGCAGGGAGTGCAACCCATTGTGGGTGACATCCAGCAGGCGGAGGCCGGAGCACATGCCCAGCTGGGTGGGCAGGACCTCCAGCTTGTTGTGGCTGAGGTAGAGCTGCTCCAGGACCCGCAGCTTACGCACATGTTCGGGGACGTAGGCGATCTGGTTGTGCCATAGCCGGAGCGTGACCAGCTTGCGACAGTGCTGGAAGCTGAGGATCTCCTCAATGGACCGCAGGTGGTTGTCCTTAAGGTCGAGTTCCTGCAGGGCGCCCAGGCTGAAGACTGCGTGGGGGATGCGCTCCAGCCCGCAGGCCACCAGCTCCAGCTCGCGAAGCACCGTCAGCTTCTTGAGGCTGTTGAGGGCCAGCAGGCGGGCCCCATCGTTGTGCAGGCTAAGCCGCTGCAAGTGACCAGCCACATCGGTCACGCTGGCTGGGACCTTGCCGGCGTTGCTCCAAAGGGACAGCACCTTGAGCTGCTTCAGCTCTCGGAGGCTCTCAAGGGTAGCTGCCTGAGCCAGCTCTGGGGGAAAGAGCCCCTCAAGGTGCAGCTCTTCCAGGCTACGCAGCCCAAACACCCAGAGAGGCACCTCGCGGAGCTCCTCACACTTGATACGGATGACCTTCAGGCGGTCCCGCAGAAAGATCTGCAAGGAAAAGGGTAGCCTGGCCGGAGAGTGGATCAGGCTGAGTTCCTGCAGGTGCACCAGCTGTGACAGGCCTGGGGGGAAAGTGATATCAGAGATGGCCTCCAGGCGGAGTGCCTCGACCTCACGGAGCTCAAAGACCGTATCAGGCAGTCCTGGGAGCATGCAGAGCGCCAGCTCCAGCCGGCCCTTGGCGTTGTGCTGCAGCTTCTGCCGAAGTTTCTCGGGCGTCCACTCGTGGTTGAGGTTCAGCTGCTTCAGGCGGCTCTCGCTGACCTCGGAGAGGAAGACGGCGAAGCGCTTGGAGTAGAGCGGGTCATACTGGTCGATGAGGTGCAGCATGAAGGCAAAGTCATTCTTGACGTCGGGAATGTCACCCATGCCAGTCTCCTCCCGCGCAGAGCGGAAGGAGTATTCCTTGAGGGGTCGGTGGAAGAGCCAGTAGAGTGTATAGAGGCAGGTGATGCCATAGACACACACAAAGCAGATGTAGCAGAAAGCCAGCTTGGAGAAGAGGTGGGCCTTGGTGTGGTTGCAGCAGAAGCTGGCATAGCCCGTGAACCTGGAAGTCTCCACCGTGCAGGCCACCACGAAGCTTATCTTCTCCACATAGACGAGGTTGTAGACCAGGATGGCAAAGAACTTGCAGACTTTGAGCACCATCTGCCTGATGTACATGGTGTATAAAATGTCCCCCTCTTCCACATGCACACGGAACTTCTTGACCTTCTCAAACAGGGCTTTGGCCTGTTCCCCCTCCTTCTTGTCCAACAGGGTAACAGCTGGCGGCTCACTCACCACCTTCTCAGGCTCTGTCAGCACCTTCTCTTTTTCACCCTCCCCCACCTTTCCTGGCCCTGCCTCAGCAGCCACAGTTGCTGTTGCCTGTCGAGTGGCATGGCCCTTACGGTTCTCCCCCGAGACCTCAGACAGAGCCCGTGTGGTCCATGGTGAGTCAAAACACTTGCCCAGGATGGAGGTGAAGTGTTCGATCTTGGAGCTTGTGCCAGGGAACTTGAACCAGAAGCTGGTGCAGACCATAAAGATGAGTGTGTGGATGACAACCAGGTAGGGGAAGTACTTGGGGTACCAGTGAAGGGCCTTCTCGTAGCAGAGCTGGTTAATGAAGCTGTACTGCTGCAGGTCCAGGTTGTTTTTGAGGCCGCTTACTTCCTGGATACCCTCCATCTGCTCAGGGACCCCCTGCAACAACAGTTGCTGACACGGGGCCTCAGAGAAGTTCTCCGGGGGTTCATGACTGGGCAGACAGATGATCTTGTCCTGTGTCACCTGTGGAATAGGGGGGAGGGTGAGAGAGGGAGAGGGATCTGGGAAATTGGGAGAAAGTAGGCTGAGGTAGAAGGTCCTGATCCCTAACTGTCCCCAGCTGGCTCTGACTTGAGAAGTCACTAAACCTGAGCTTCAGTCTGTCTGAAAAAAAAGTTAGGTTGAATTGTGTCTTCCAGAAAGATGTCAGAGTCCTAATCCCCAATACCCATGAATGTGGCATGTTTCCAGAGCAGATGGAGTCAAGATGAGGTCATTAAGGTGGACCTTAAACCAATATGACTGCCTTTATTGATTTATTTATTGATTATAAATATAATTTTAGCCGAAACCGGTTTGGCTCAGTGGTACAGCGTTGATCTGCTGACTGAAAGGTCCCGGGTTCGATTCCGGTCAAGGGCATGTACATTGGTTGCGGGCACATCCCCTGTAGGAGGTGTGCAAGAGGCAGCTGGTCGATGTTTCTCCCTCATCAACGTTTTTAGCTCTTTATCTCTTTCCCTTCCTCTCTGTAAAAAATCAATAAAATATTATATATATATATATACACACACACACACACACACACACACACACTTTTATTGATTTCAGAGAGGAAGAAATAAAAGCATCAATTTTGCTAGAGAATTATTGATTGGTTGCCTCCTGCATGCCTCACACTGGAGATTGGGCCCACAACCTGGGCATGTGCCTTGAGTGGGAATCGAACCATAACCTCCTGGTTCATAGGTCGAAGCTCAACCGCTGAGCCATGCCAGCCAGGCTGACTGTGTCCTTTTAAAAAGGGGGAATCTGGACATAGACACACACACATAGAGCGAAGATGCTATGAAGACAGGGAGAATATCATCTATAAGTCAAGCCAGCAGAACCTAGGAAAGAGGCATGGGACATATTCTCTCTGACAGCCCTGGGAAGAAACCAACCAGGTTGACACTTTGATTTCAGACTTCTAGTCTTAAGAGCTGTACGATAAAAAAGGTCTGACTCAGTTCATGATAGTTTGTTATGACAGCCCTAGCGTATTAATAAGGTAACTGCAGTTCTTACTAGGTTCTGGGGACAGAAGTATATAAAAATATGGACTACCACAGCTGTGTGCAGGACTTCTGTGCTGCTACCAGTGAGGGAGAGATGGGAAGACTTCGGAATTGGTCTGTGAACCTAGGGGGCTCTGGTTTCCCCTTCCTTGGATAAGAGGAAGATTTCCGAAATTCCCTAGGCCACACCCTCTAAAGTCCCGCCCCTATACAGACTCCTCTCTCACCCCTCATTCAGGCCTCGCCCTCCCCCTCCCCTTACCTGGAGGGTGCAGCCAAAGACTCCGATCATGAGCATGGCCACTGTGAGGTACTCGGCCAGGACGTCCCACCAGGGTTTGAGCAACTTGAAGGCAGGCTGCTGCTCCGAGAACTGCTTGAACTCGGCTATTGGAATCATCCTGCCTGTGAGAGAGCAGGAAGTGTGGTGTGGAGACCTCAGGCAGTGGCACCTGCTGGTGGGGCCCCCTAGGAGCCAGCCGCTGCTCTGGATCTGCGCTCCACCCTGCGGAAACCTGGCAGAACCCAGGAGCTGTGTGTTCCCTTCTCCTCTCCCCCAGACCTCACCTCCTTCCTGGAGTCAAGCGACTAACGTTCTCACGACGTCTGCTCCCGGGACCCCTGCGCCAATCTGAACCTGCCTGCCCTCTCAGGGCTCAGGAAGGGATGTCCTGGCACCGCTGTCGTCCAGCTGGCCCGTGTGTCCTTCTTTCAGAACCAGGGCATCTCCTACCCTCCACTAGGAGCCAGGCAAAAGTTCCTCTGCTGCTCTTGTGACTCCAGACACTGGTGTCTGAGTGTCAGGACTGGCTCCCCACCACTGGACCAGAGGATGGCTCAAGGCTCGGGACTGGGACTTCCGGGGTGTGGGCCCTGCCACTGCCTTGAGGGGAGCTCAGGGCACCACCTCCAAACTCCAACCGGAAAAGCCGGCTGGAGCCTGGCTCCGATTACAGGCCCCAGGGACAGGGAGTGGCAAAACTGAAGGCTGGTCAGCCCTCGGGGTGTGTGGCTGGGGCACCTGGGTTTCCAGAGGGACTAGTACCCAGAATCTGAGGCAGAAAAAGACACTTAGGCTCTGACAGTGTAGGGCAGGGGGTGCCAGGGTGAGTGAGACTGTGGCAGAGGATCAGGAAATGAAAAACTCGGGTGGGGGCGGGGGGAGTGTAAACGAAAGGGGCCACATGCTGACCTGACAAGTTCAGGGGAGGCCTGCATGGCGGTCTTGCAAACTCAGACACCTAAGGTAACCACAAAGGATGGTCTGAAATTAAACTTTAACTAAACGCAGTTATAGTGGGCATTTAGGTCCTAGGCTGGTATCTCCACTGACAAGGTCAACCTTTACCTTAACTGAGCCTATTTGTCTTTGCAACTACGATAACATACCCTTGAAATGTCTGGGTAACTTGTAACTTTCCTTTTTCTGGGGCCCCTGGGGCACAACCAGATATAATGGATGCCACAAATTCCTTCATTATCATGTTAATTGTTCCTGCACTCACCTAAGTAATGTGTCCATCATTTTACTTTTTATCCCACTGCTTTGCTTTATCCCACCTCCTTAATCCATCACCAATAAATTTCATGTCACCCACCTCGTCCCTCCTTTGATTGCAATGTACAAATACAGATGTAACCCTCCATTCTCCGGAGCATTATCTCAATTCCTTGAGGTTGTGCTTCCCGGCATATGTCGACAGTTTGGATCAAATAAACTCACAAAAATTCTTTACAGGTTTCAATGGCTTTTTTACGTTAACAAAAGCCAGTGTGACATCTACGACTGAGACAGGACCAAGCGGCCTGTCCCTGGGTTTCATTTTAGATCAAGGTATCCTTATTCCAGATACAGATGGCCAGATGCAAATCACACAGAGGCCACCAGCCTGGACCAGGAGTCCCTCTTCTCTCCCTGAGGCTGGAGGTGGGAGGAGAGGGAGGTAGCAAGGCCGCCACTGCCTCCGAGGGGGCTCCTAGGCCACCCGCCTCTCCCAGCACCCATGGTTCCCAATATTTAGGCCTCATTTTCTCCCAAAGGCTTCCTGGAGCCAGCTCTCCTCATCCTGGTAGCCTCATGGTGCAGGCTGGGCAAGGAAAGGAGCATCTGGGCCACCAGCTGGTCCTCCAGCCCTTCACCCATCTTCAGGGGGAACCTGACCCAGGCCCACACCTGCACCAAAGGCTCTGACACCTCCACACCTCTGGTTCCCGTCCCCTTGAAAGCCTTGGGGATTTAGTGGGTGGAGATAGAGGAGGTAGGCCCCACCCACTTAATCCCCTCAGAGGCTTCCACCAAGGTACCAAGGTGGGGCTAGGCTAGCAAAATGGGTACATGTGTGCTCACACCCATTCTCCTGGGCTCCCTGACTCAGGCCCTGACTCACCCAGCACCAGGCACACGCAAGGAGGTGCACAAAGAACACAAGATCCCTTACGAAATGGCTCTTTCCTTATACTCAGTTTCCTACCATCCTCAACAAAAAGCCAAGTAAATTGCCTCAGTGCGTCTCAGTCTTGGCCACTAGGGAATCTGAGAGAAACATACCCAGGGCATCTTAGCCCCGAGTGCCCAAAAGTACACTGCAGCCACCAAAAGGGTCACTTGGGGCATTTCGAAGTGTGCACATTTGTGCATGTGGGCATGAGCGCACCAACACTGAGCTGAGGGGAGACCTGGGACCAGGGAGACACCACACATTCTTTTCCAGTCCTGCCACCGTGGTTCCCCTGCCCTGCCTACCTGTCCCTGTCAGAGACACTGCTCAGTCTCTTAAGAACTAACTCTGGAGGCTGCAGGAGGGGACTTCCTGCCGGAGTTCCTGCCACATTCCAGGGTCCATCTCACAATGGGGGACGTTCACTCCTGGGGTCCACAATCAGAGGCAAAAAGGCAGGGACCCTAAGGTCCCAGCAGATGGCTCAGTGGTTCCCACGGAACAAGGTGCCCATACACCACCATCAGAGACAGACGCGAGGGGTTATCATTATGTGTCTCCATGACTCAGACTTGATTGTTGGAACCTGCCATTAAGCTTCCACAGACACAATGCCCCCCCCCCCTTTGTCTGAGCAGGGGTAGTGGGAGGGTCCAGAGAAAAGGACTTTTGGGATGGGAGAAACCTTAAGAAAACAACAAGGGGGCCACACACACAACTTACAGCCACCATGTCTCAGTGAGCATGTGTGTTGGGCTCTCGTTTTCCTGCCTCAAAAGGAGAGAAACAACTTGCTCAAGTTTTCACAGCTCTGACAGGACTGAGCGGCCAGCCCACTGATTACATCCAGTTTCATTTTGAGAGAAAACCTCTGGCAGAGACTAGTATCTTTGTAGGGGAATGTGGGGGTGAGATGGAGGGATGGCTGCTCTGAATGCCAGACTGAAGAAGGGGTCTCTGTCAGCCTGGGATAGGTGCATGCCCCCTGCCCAGTCTTAGCTCCACCATCCACACCTGACCCTTGTCTCTCCTCTCTTAGGCTTTTCCCCGCCCCCCCCTCCCCCAACCTGCCTCCAAAAACACAGTGGTGGTGAGGACTCCTGAGCTAGCCCCTGTCCCCACCCTCAGTCCATGCTGAGAGGAAAGGAAGACACAACAGCAGTTGTCAGCGCTGGAACAGGCCTTGGAGGGCACAAGGTCCAACCTTTTGACTTTTGCATAAGGGAGAAACTGAGGCCCTGGTGGGAGAGGATGGGGCTTGATAGCAGATGGAGTGGGGCACACCTGGGAACTCCCAACCGAGTACTTTTTCCAAGGTGCCCTGCCAGGACTTGGGGTTCTAGGGAATCTTGAGGTTTAAGAGACCCAGAGGAGGCAGCCTGGTGAAGACCCCAAACGGTGTTTCTGGGCCTTATGGAGCTCGGAGATGAGTTGCCGCTGTGGTCTCAGAGGTCAAGGAGAGGGAAACATCATGAAGGACCCCCTCGCCCCCTCCCAGGTCGCCCACAGCCTGTGGATCTTCACTCTGTCCTTGGCCAGGCCTCCCTGCCCTCCTGCCCTGCACCCTTGGCCTGAGCAGGGCCTAGCCTCTTTCTGCCCCCTCCTTTCCTCAGCGCCCTGTGCCCCAGGCGGTGGCGGTGGGCTCAGGCCCCTGTGCCAGCCACATTTGGGCCAGTCCTCCTGTGGGCCCGACCCCCACCCAGCAACCTGGTTCCCAGCGGTGGAGAGAGCCACCTACTCACCGCTCAGGGTGGGGCTGGGCCCAACTCCTGGGTCCCCGCTCCGGCAGAGTTAGTTCACAGGCCAGGCTGGGTGAATCAGGGCGGGCGGGCCCGCAACCAGGAGCCGCCCCGCCCCGCCCCGCCCCGCCCACCTGACGTCTCAGCCCTGCCTCCCTCCGGTGCTTCCAGGTGCCCCTGACTCCTGGCGCCGGGATCGGGGATCGCAGAAAGGGTGACTGCTCTCCCCAAGGTGGCCCAGCGCCGGCCTTAGGCGCAGGGCCCTGACCTCTGGGCCCGGCTGCCATTGGCTGGGATCTGGCCTGAGGCATATAGATGAGGATCAGGCATCGCGCATCCGCGGGGCCGCTCTCCTTGGAGCCACGCTGTACAGATGGAGTCAGAAAACGAGGAGGGGTCTCCTCCTTCGCCCACCCCAAGGTGCAGCCACCTGGCTTTGAGGCCCAACCAAGGAACCAGTGATCAAGGTCCATCCAGTCAGGGAGCCAAGTAGAGTGGGGTGCTTACACGTCTGACCCTGCCCAGCCTTGAGGTTGGCCCTCCCCTGCCAGCTCCTTGCGTGGTCCATGGACAGGTGCAGGGGTCAGAGGCTCTGGGAGCTGGGGCTAGAGTCCAGCCTGGGCGGCCAGATTCTAGAAGTACGACTCGGTCTCCCCATGCCCACCCTTTCCTTCCCCCAGGGAGGCCTGGGTTGGGTCTTAGACCAGTCAATTGCCCAATTCAGCCTGGGGGGCATGGGCAGTTGAACCTTGATCTGCTTTGACTACAAAACAAGGGAGAGAATCTAGACTAGAAAGGGGAGTGGTCTACCTTGGGACAAAGAAGCCCGAGTTCTCCACAGTAGAGGCTCCTGAAACCCTGAAACCTTGAAGGCTGGGACCCCCTTAGCTTAGCTTCCTCTGTGAGCCCCTGGGCGGCATTCCACCCTCTGGCACTCCACTTCTGATAAGTCTTGGGCTCCCTCTGAGGAGCCATCGGAGACCAATACTTCCTCCCTCTTCTTCCGTGGTCTCTTCCTGCCTCCGGAGAAGCTCCTTGAGATCCACTCCCTGGGGTTTGTTCCCAGCTTTGTTCTGGAATAAGCATCCAGCTTGGCACACTTATGCAAGAGTCTGCGGTCACTGGGCTGGCAGCCCCATTGGAGGAGGCTGGGGTCTCTTCTGCTCCCTTCAGTGTCCCCAGCACTCGGAATGGTGCCAGGCACACAGTGGTGAGCATTCAGTTAATGATGAGCGGGTGGACGATTGAGCTGTTATCTTAATTCGGGCTCTTCTAGTTGCAAACTGTGAGACAAGGAATCAGGATGTAAATAGCTTATCTGAGAAGTGATCCCAACAAGCACTAATGGTGAGACAGCGGGGAGACGAGAGTGGGCAGGGAAGGAAGCCAATAAGCTTTAATGAGGGTACATCAATGAGGACAAGTGAGCAGGTTGACACTGGGCAACCGGGGCTCCATTCTCCTGGGGAACTCTGGGAGACGGTGGAAGACACCTCCCAGTTGTGGGAGTTGAAGTACTAATAGGCTGGATCCTGATTGTGTTGGCTGAGGGCTGCTCTGCAGAAGGGACATGGAGGGGCATTAATTCCCTGGAACTTCTGATTTCCCTGACATGTGGGAATCGCGGGTGCTCAGGAGATATGGAGGAGGCTTCAGGGCACCTGCCGCACGGATCGACACTTGAGTGGAATGGATGGGTCATAGGACACACCTACAATCTTTCCGGTTGTTCTCCAGAAAGACTATCACTTTATGTTCCCACTGGGAATGGGTGAATTTTCCCACATCAATAACACCCAACTTAAAAAAAGGTGATAACGGAACTTTCCGTCTTGACTATTTTTAAAAAATATATATATTTTATTGATTTTTTACAGAGAGGAAGGGAGAGAGATAGTTAGAAACGTCAATGAGAGAGAAACATCGACCAGCTGCCTCTTGCACACCCCCTACCGGGGATGTGCCCACAACCAATGTACATGCCCTTGACCGGAATCGAACCTGGGACCTTTCAGTCTGCAGATCGACGCTCTACCGCTGAGCCAAACCGGTTTCGGCAGTCTTGACTATTTTTAAGTGTACAGTTCAGTGGCATTAAGTACGTTCACAATGTTCTGCAAACACCCCCACCATCCATTTCTAAAATGTTCTCATCTTCTCAAACTGAAACTCTGTCCCCATTAAGCACTTACTCCTCCTCCTCCTCCCCCCCAGGCCCTGGCACCCCCCATCTACTTTCTGTCTCTGTGGATCTGACTCCTCTAGGGACCTCATATGAGTAGAATCATACAGTACTTGTTCTTTTGGGACTGGCTTATTTCACTGAGCATAATATCTCCAAATTTCCATCCATATTTTAGCCTGTGTCAGAATATCCTTCTTTTTTACGGCTAAGTAATCTCCCATTGTGTGGGCGGACTACATTTTGTTTAACCATTCACCATCGAGAAACCCTTGGGTTGCTTCCCTCTTTTGCCTGTTGTGAATAATTAAACACAAGTGTGTAAATGTAAACATTTCTTGGAGTTCCTGCTTTTAATTCTTTTGGGTGGAATTGATGGGTCATATGGAAATTCTCTGTTTACTTTTTTTGAGGACCATTCACACTGTTCTTTCACAACAGCTGCATCATTTTGCATTTCCACCAACAATACCCATGATTGCCCATTTCTCCACATTTTCACCAACACTTGTGCTTAATACCCAGCTTCTAATGTCTTGTGAACCTGAGGTAGTTAGCTATTTGTACATAACAAATTACCCCCCAAACCTAGCAGCTTAAAACAAGCATTCACTGTCTCATAGTTTCTGAAGGTCAGGAACCTGAGAGTGACTACAGAGGGTGGTCCAACAGTGTCCCTCCCCCACCAGCTCCCAGCAACTACTGTTTTGTTTTCTGTCCCTCTAGATTAGCTTCCATTTCTCAGAATGTTCTGTAAATGGAATCATACAGTGAAGCCTGTGTGTCTGTGTGTGTGTGGCTTCTTTTCATCAGCAGAATGTTTTTGAGATTTGCCCCAATGTATTTTGAGTGTCTTAGTAGTTTATTTATTTATTTTAAAAAAATATATTTTATTGATTTTTTACAGAGAGGAAGGGAGAGGGATAAAGCGTTAGAAACATCAATGAGAGAGAATCATTGATCAGCTGCCTCCTGCACACCCCTTCCTGGGGATGTGCCCACAACCAAGATACATGCCCTTGACCAGAATCGAACCCAGGACCTTTCAGTCCGCAGGCTGACGCTCTATCCACTGAGCCAAACCAGTTTTGGCTCCTTTTTCTTTCTTATTTTTTTTTCTGTCACTCTTTCTTTCTCTCTTTCTTTGTTTATTTTATTTTTTTGCTGAAGAGTATTCCATTGTAGGGATTGCAGGTTATGTTTTGGTTTGTGTAATCCATCCCTCTGTTGCTGGACCAATTTGGGAAATGGTCTTACATCAGGGCAGAATCCAGATCTCAGTGAAATGCAGGATGGAGTCAGTTTAGCCTTGGAGAGACCCTGGCACCAAAGAAGACAGCAGAGCAGGGCTCTGGGCAGGCAGTTGAGACTCAGAAGGGCACTGCTGGAGAGTGGGTAATCAGGCAGAGACCCAGGCTGCGGTACTGCCAGAAGGTGTTCACACAAGTGATCCTCAATAGACCTGGGGATGAGGTGAGGCCTGGAATGATCCAATCGGTGTGCGTGTGTGTGTGTGTGGGGGGGGGGGAAGGGGGAGGTATGGAAGAGGGGTGTTTGAGGAGCACCTCTTCCAAGCTGAAGGGAGGATCCATTGCAAGGATGGGTTCTGAGATAGGCTTTCATCAGCTAAAGTAGGGTATTCAGTTCTGACCGTGGCTTCTCTCTTTTTTTCTTCCATTTCCTGAGCCTCAACTATGGACACAACTATTGAAGCAAGAAAATGCAAACCTCTGCTTCCGGCCAGGCTAAATATGTTTTTATTGATTTTAGAGAGAAAAGTAGGGAAGGGGAGAGAGAAAAACAATGATGAGAGCTCCACTGGTGTAACTCAGTGGCTGAGCGTCAACCCATGAGCCAGGAGGTTGCGGTTCCATTTCTGGTCAGGGCGCGTCCACAGGTTGTGCAGGAGGTGCCAATCAATGATTCTCTCTCATTATTGATGTTTCTATCCCTCTTTCCCTCTCCCTGCCTCTCTCTGAAATTAATAAAAAACATATTTAAAAAGCAAGAAATATCAGTGAAAGAAACATCCATAGGCTGCCTCCTGCATGCCCTCTACTGGGGATCAAGCCCTCTGAGACCTGGGCATATGCCCTGACCCGGAACCAAATCTGAAATCTCAAAGTGCATTGGACAACGTTCAGCCACCTTAGCTACACCGGCCAGGGCAGGCCTGGGTTCTTTTATTGGGGTAGAGTGTGGTGCCTAGGGTTTCACGAGCCCACTCTTTTAAAAAAAATATATTTTATTGATTTTTTACAGAGAGGAAGGGAGAGGGATAGAAAGTTGGAAACATTGATGAGAGAGAAACATCGATCAGCTGCCCCCTGCACACCTCCTACTGGGGATGTGCCCGCAGCCAAGGTACATGCCCTTGACTGGAATCAAACCTGGGACCCTTCAGTCCGCAGGCCAAGCTATCTGCCAGCTGAGGCATGAGCCCACTCTTTATTGGTGAATTTAAAGCATGGGGGAAAAATGACTCAAATGGTCAACCAAAACCTCTGAAACAAAGGACCTTCGTGGGGAAGACAGCCTGCTCTTCACCTGCTGTGTGGCTGGCAGTGTGTTTGTCGGAGATGGCCATCTGTGCGGTGGCTGCCTCTACAATGGACGCTTAACCAGCCTTTGCATTACAAAAAACTTAAAAATCCAACTTTCTCTCTCAGGAAGCCTTTGCTGACCTGACCTCACCCCTTCATGTGACTTAGGTGCGTGTGGAGGTTGGGGTGCCTTGTCCTGCAGAAGGCTGGGCCACCTCTCACCATATTCAGTTTCTCTCTCCTCTCCCTCTCTTCCTCTCTTGCCCAAATTCAGGGTTTGTCCCTAAATTCCCAGGGCTGCGGGGTCTGGGAAAGCCTTTGGGTATGCCAGGGGTGGGTGCCTCCAGGGACCCAGGGCGGCCTTGCCTCCTGGGACCCGAAGGCCTGGACAGAGACCAGGGACACTGAACTGCGGATTGGTCCCTGGGCCGGAGGTGCGGGCAGGCCCCCTGGCTGCCAGGGCCCGTGCATGTTGTGGTGGGGATTCTCGCCTCCCTCCCCTCTCCTCGCGGGTTCGGTCTCCCGAGCTCCGGGCCGCACGGAGCGGCCGCCCCTCCCTCTCCCTCCGCGCGCTCCCGCGCCTCCCCGGCCGCTCCGGCGCGTGCGCCCCTCGTCTCCGAGCCCGCGGCCCAGGGGCGGGCCGGCTCCGGGGGCCGCCGCCCGCAGCCCCTTCCTTCGCTGCCATCCACCCCACCCGAGGGGCCCCGCGCGGGTGCGGGAGGCCGGGCCGGAGGTGAGTGCGGCGCCAGCAGGTGGAGTGGGCGGCGCGGACGCGGCGGGCGGGCGCGGGCATCCCGCTCGGGAAGCGGCTCTTTGTCTCCCGGAGCTGGTGCGCGGGCGCCAGGGCCGCTCCTCCTCCGGCAGGTGCTGGCGTGTCCCCCCACTTCCCCCAAGCTGGCGAGGGGACCCGGGGGTGCGCTCCGACCCCCCACCCCATTGGAGTCCGGGGATCCCCCTGTCCCCGGGGCTGGACATCTGGATCCCTAGGGGGCGGGGGGCAGAGGCGTGGATCCGGGGTCTGAGAGGGAGCGGGGACCGGACAAGGGGGATGGGCGGTGGCAGCAGGGCCAGGGGGAGGGTGATGGGATGGGACTTGGGACCGCCTGGAGCAGCCCGGCTGGGGAGCGGGTGGGTGGATGGGTGGGAGGGAAGGGGATCGAGGCCGAGGTGTGCGTGCCCGTGGGCAGCGAGGTGCCAGAGCCGGGCTCCCGCAGGGTGCCGGGCGGTCCAAGCCCCGCTGTGTCCCCTCAGGTGCGGGATGGACCGGAGAGACAAGGCCAGGGCGGGCGCCGCTGAGCGGACCGCGGCTTCGCACCCCCCGGGCCGCCGGAAAGCCCCCAGGCTCCCAGCGGCTCCTCGGGCCCCGCCACCTGTCACCCCCTCAGCCCTCAGGGCTCCGGGGGCCGCGGGAGCTGCGGGGCGGGGGCCCCCGGCCGAGCGAGCGCCCGGCGCCCGGCCAGCCGCCCTTCCGGACGCTCCTCCCGCGGCGGAGCCCACGCGGGGCCCCCGGACCGGCCCCGGCAGCCCAGGTACCCCAGCCTCTTCCCCCGAGCCCGAGCCCGAGCCCGTCCCCCTGCACCTCCCTCCTCCTGTGCTACCCGCTCGCTCTGCCTCCGGCACCTGCTCACCGCCCTCTCCCGGCAGCCGCGAGGCCCGCAGCGGCGGCCAGAGGGGCGCGGACCGCTGCCAGGACCCCCGGCCCAGGCTCAGTCTCCAGCCCCGGACGAGCCGGAGGTGCCACCAGGTACCCCCCCCCCCCCACCTCCCCAGGCAAGGGAGAGGGTCACTCTTTGGAATTGGGGTGTGGGAACACCTGCAGGTGACTGGGTGCAAGTTGGGTGAAAGCCATTCTAAGGCGGCAGAGGGTCCATGTGCCCATTTCACAGATGAGGAAGACAATGTGAACTTTGGAGGTGGGGAGGTGGGCTCTGCCCTGAGCATGCCTCCCCCCCTCACCCCCAGGCTAGGCCCTCTGGGGCAGAAGGCACTCCGGCCGCCAGCAGAGGAGCCGAGGGGCAGAGGGAAACCCCCAGAAACTCCCAGAGTGAGTGCCCTGAGTGTGGAGGCGCGGAGAGGTATGTGCCCGGGGAGGATGGGGCTCCTGGGCTTGGGGGGGACCAGCCTGTAAGTGTCGATGACCCTTTGTCTTCTGCTTTGCCCCTAGACTCTTTCGGTCCCACGCCAGGCGCTCCCCTCCCCGCCATCTCCCCTCGGCCTCGGGGTGGGGGTGCTGATGTGGGGCTCCCCCGGCCAGCTTCCAGTGCCCGGCCCCGCCCCCTGGCGGAGGCCCCCCGGAAACCAGCGAGCCATGCCCCGGAGCGCAGCGCCGCGGAGCCGAGCCCTGCGGCCCGGAAAAGGCCCGGCACCGGCGGCGGCGCCCAGAGGCCGGCCCCCCGCCCCCCGGGCTCCGGCGCCACCCCGCTGTCCTCCCCGGCTCACTCCCAGGCCTCGCTGGGGCGCTCCTCGCAGGCCAAGCCAAAAGGCCTGCAGGCTCTGCGCCCCCCAAAGGCCGCACCCTCCAGGAAGGGCGCAGCCAGCCTGCAGAGCCCCTCGCCCCCTTTGGCCACTTCTTCTCCGCGGGTTCGGACCGCACCACCGGCACCGCCCAGCCTTATCGCTGCCTCTACTCTGCGGGACACACCCCTCCCCTCTGCACCCCCCACGCCTCCTTCCCGGGCCCCGGCGGGCCCTCTGACCACGCCCCTTCCGCTTGCCCCGCCCTCTGCCCCGCCCCCTCAGCGGGGCCGCCCCTCTCCTCCTGCCACGCCCCCTTTGCCAGCTCCCCTCGTCCACCTGAGCGCATCCCTTCCGGCGGCGCCCGCCTCTCCCACGGCCGCTCTTCCAGCTCCAGGCCCTCCTCCAGCCTCGCCCCCTCTGCAGAGCGCGTCCCCTGCCCAGGCTCCTCCGGCTTTGCCCTCTCCCCCGTCCACACCGCCTTTGTCAGCCGGTCTGCCACCGGCCACGCCCCCTCCGCAAGCCCCTCTTCCTCAGGCAAGGTCTCCGCAGAGCTTACCCTCTCCCTCAGCCACAGCCCCGCGGCAGGACTTTCCTGCGCTGGCCGGGCCCTCTCCGCCGGCCGGCCCTCTGTCTCCGCTCCATCTTCAGCACCCTGCCTGCACCCTGGCCGCCCCTCCCCCGCAGGATCCTCCTCCAGCCACAGCCCCTCCGCAGGCTCCGCCTTCTCCACTGGCCACGCCCCCTCCACAGACCCCACCTCTGGTCCCGTCCCCTCCGCAGGCCCCGCCTTCTCCACTGGCCACGCCCCCAGTGCAGACCCCACCTCTGGTCCCGTCCCCTCCGCAGGCCGCTCCCTCTTTGGTTCTGCCTCCTCTGCAGGCCCCACACTTTCTGGCCTCGCCAGCTTTGCAAGCCCCTCCCCTGGACACGCCCCCTCCACAGAGTCCCTCTGCCCTGGACACACTTTCTCTGCAGGTCTCTCCCTCTTCTCAGGCCCTGTCCCCTCCACAGGTCTCCCTTCCTCTGGCCTCACCACCTTTGCAGGCCACTCCCGCTGCGTCCAGTCCTCTCCTAGAAGCTATGGCCCCTGTGCAAACCCAAACTCTGGCCTTGCCTTCTCTGCCAGACCCTCTCCCTCCAATGGCCACTCCCCCTCCCCCGGCTCCACCTTCTCTAGTCCTGTCCCCTTTGCAGGCTCTTCCCTCTCCTCCTGCCTCTCCCCCTCTTCAGACCCCACGCCGCCCCCCAACCCCGGGCCCCGACGCCCCGATCCCGGGCCCGCGGCTGACCCTGGCGCTGGCCCCGGCGCCGCCGCCGCCGCCCTCGCGCAGCCCGTCCAGCACGCTGAGCGGCCCGGACCTGGCGGGCCACAGCAGCAGCGCCACCAGCACCCCGGAGGAGCTGCGCGGCTACGACAGCGGCCCCGAGGGCGCCGCCGCCTCCCCGCCCGCCGACGCCGAGCTCGCCGCCTGCCATCCGGCCGCCTGGAGCCGAGGGCCCGCCCCGCCGCTGGCCGGCCGCGGCGCCCCGGGTGAGCGGGCTTTGGGACCCGGCGGGGCTGTGGGCGGGGCAAGGCCTGGAATGTGGGTGGGCGGGGTGGACGGCGAGGCTTCGCGGCTCAGGGCAGGCGGCTGCGGGGCTGCGGGGCTGCGGGGCTGCGGGGCTGCGGGGCTGCGGGGCTGCGGGGCAGCGGGCGGGGCTTATCGCTCCCTCCCGCTAGTTCGGCTCTCCTCGCTGCAGGGGGGCCCCTGCCCTGGTCTCCGGCCGCTGGGTCCGGCGCTGCGGACGGCCTGTGCACCATCTACGAGGCTGAAAGGCCGGAGTCGGCGACCGACGCCCAGGGAGCGCTGGAGCCCGGGCCCGGGCCCGGCGCGGGTGGCGGGAAGGTGGCGGCCGGGCCCGGGATGCTGGCGGCCTCGCGCAGCGGGAAGCCGGCGCGCCTGGGCGAGCTGCCGCTGGGGGCGCTGCAGGCGAGCGTCGTGCAGCACCTGCTGAGCCGGACGCTGCTGCTGGCGGCGACCGAAGGTGCGGCGGGCGACAGCGGCTGTGGCCCCGGCAGCGCTGGGGGCGGGGGCGGCGCGGGCGGCGCCCGGACTGCGCTCAGCGATGCTGAACTGGGTCGCTGGGCCGAACTGTTGTCTCCTCTGGACGAGTCCCGCGCCAGTATCACCTCCGTCACCAGCTTCTCCCCGGACGACGTGGCTTCCCCGCAGGGTGACTGGACCGTGGTGGAGGTGGAGACCTTCCACTGAGTCCGATTCTCTTAACTCCACCCCCGCCTTAGCGTCCGCCCTCCCGTTACACCTCTCGGTCTTAGACCCCTCCTTCTGGAATCCAGATCTTCGTAGAATTTTGGCCCAGGTTCGCCACCACCCACACCTTTTGCTAAGGCCCTCCCCTCGAGCTTCGCCCCTTTGGCCTGGGACACGCTCACGCTCCCCTGGAGCTTTGCTTCCTCAGCCTAGCCCCCATTCCACGTGTATAGTTTGCAATAAAGCCGGGACACTGCCGCTGGGCGTCTTTGTCGCTGCGGGGGCCGAGGCTGCGGTGAGACTGGGCGCTGCGGAGCGTGGTCTAGCCGGGCACACCTACCCGCGTGCGTGAATGTAGGTTTTTTCCGGTCTGACTTCTGGAAACTTTAGGAGGGTCCCAATGCGTGAACTAGTGCGTGCAAGCTCTTCCCACCCTGGGCCAGGGGGGCCAGCACTCCTGGGGAGAGGGGCAAGACACGTGGGAGGGGCTCGCTGGGGGTGGAGGGCCCCGCCCAGTGTGCACCCCCTTTCATGCTCCGGTGTGTTGGAGGGAGTGAGGGGTCGCTCTGTTTCCCCTGGAGACTCCCTACCCAGGGCACACTGCCCTCTGCTTACCCAGGAGGCTGCAGTGCAGGGACCTCCTCAGAAGGACCTAGTGTAGGGAGCAGGTCCCTCCCGGAAGGGGATGGGAGGGGCCTGTAGGGAAGGAGCAACCTCCTCCAAGGCTGGGTGGGAGATCAGGGAGTCTTCACCATGCCCCTTTATGGCACCCAACCCATGGACCTCACTTACCCTCCATGCCCCTTTATGGCACCCAACCCATGGACCTCACTTACCCTCCCAACTTAGGGTGTTCTCCCCAAACCAGGGGTCCTCACCAGAGCCAACCAGTATCTTCATTTGTCTCCCCTGATCACAATTCCTTGCCCTCCTCCCATAGCCCAGTTATCCTGACGCTGGATTCCTCAAGCCCCAGCCCAGGCCCTTCTTCCCAACTGCACTTCAGGAAACACTCCCAGGCCTTTCCTCCCTCCCTGCGGGTCTCCTGCTTCACACCAAGAGTGATGGAGGCCTGGCAAGGACCACAGCCCCCTGGGCAGGTAAAAGGACAGAGCAGGACTCCCTGTTGGGTCCTCAGCCTTTTTTGTGCCCATAGACCCAGTCCTCACAGTGCAGCCTGCAGCCAGGCTCCTGTCACACACAGATCACCCAGTTCTGCCTGTCTCCACCCCAGATATGGGGACCTCCCAATCTAGCACCTGAGAAATTGACCCTATCTCAGCAGGACACAACCACCTCCACCCCGAGAGTCAGTGTGTCGTCTGAGGGCACACAGCATGCTTCCTCATTCAAGGTCGAGTTCCATGGCAAAAAAGAGGTTCTCTTTCTGAGCCCTGGCAAGGACCCATGAGTCTTCCTTTCTAGAATATGAGACAAACCCAAAGGTGGGTGCTGGCTCCTTACCTACTGTGCAGTCAGGACCTCAGAGCCAGCCCCAAGAGGGAGCAGGGCAGAACCTGAGTGTTTCCCTGGGGCCCTACCGGACCTGGAAGCTGGTGGGGTGGAATCACCCTATGAAAGCAGGAGACAGTCACTGCGGGGGTCTCAGTGTTAATTCTGTGTGATGGGAGTGTGCATGGGCCCACAGGAGCTGTTTGCTAAGTGATGGCACAATCTGGGGAACTTGGCTGTCCCAGAGCATAACCAGCATCCTGCCCTGCTGCTCAGGGAGCTCATATTCTCTCTCCCCACTGCCCGGCTCAGCTTGGTCTTTGCCCTGGCCTCCTCACTGATCCCCAACACTATGGTCCATCTGATGCTGTTCCCCTCACCTCAGCTCTCCATAGCTCCCCAGTGCCCTCACTTCAAATAGCAAACGTTGGCTTCTGACCAGAGAAACCCCTTCCTGGTCTGGCCATGCCCTCTCTCCTGTTCCTTCTATCATGTGCTTCCTGCTAGTCCTGCCTTTATGCTTTTGTCCTTGGAGCTGACCTGACACCCTCCTCCAGGAAGCCTTCCCTGATCTCCCTGCTCATTCATCTACTGATCACTTGTCACATCAGCATGAAGGCTCAGCTCCTGCTCCCGCACCAGTGTCTGCCACCTCCACTACCCTGGGGATCCCTTAGAGCCAGGCCCGGCGGGGCACAGCACCGGGAAGGCCTCAGGAAGTATGGCATGATGAACACAATCAGATTCCCAGACCCCAAATTGTTCCACTTCTCTCAGGGGAGGCCCAAGCTGGGTCACCCAGGAGGGAAATCATGCCCCTTGTCCTCACCACCTCCAGAGCGACCCTTGTGAAAACACCAGCCATCAGGGTCCATCTGTGAGCCTGACATCCAAGGTCCTCGCTGGCCTGTTCCCCTCATACTAACCATCCCTCCCAAACCAACACAGCTGCTCACACTGAACCAGCAAATGCTCTTTCCTCTTCGTGCTGCACCCCAACCTGGGTACTTCCTGCTCCCCCCCCCCCCACTCTGCTGTCCTGCTATAGCCCCCCCCTCTCTGGGAGGCTCCCACGGACCAGGACAGCCTGCTCCCCTCCCTACTGTTGTGGCCCCGAGGCTGTTTGCAGTCCCCTTACTCAGTGTTCCTTGTCTGTGACTGTAAATACATTTATTTTCTATCCCCACCTGGGCGACATGTGGAGTGTGAACAGGCAGTGTGCAAAATGGGGGTGGGCAGTGTGAGAGGCACATGGAAGAGCCCCGCGATGCCCACCCTGGTCCCCAGGCTTTGTAACACTGAGACGTGGGCAAGTGGAAAGGGGTGGGGGCTGAGCATGGATCTCCACTCCAGGAGGCGCCGAGGAGGCCGCTTCAGGCTCCAGGAGCCCCAAGAGTCCAAAGGCCCCGGAAGGGAAGGGGTCTGGGGAGCGTTGATGGACTTTGGCACCATTCTTGGCTCTGACTGCAGAGATCACAGGACCACCGTGAGGAAGGAGGCATGAGGTGCCACCCCTCTGGGCAGCCTCCTCTCCTGGGGCCTGGGCCTGGCAAAGGGTGGGGCCGGGGAAGCCAGGGAAGGAAGGGAAGTGGAGGCTGGGGACCCCTGGAGAGGAGGCTAGCCTGGGGGGCGGAGCCCTCCCATCAGTGGTCAAGATGGGGTGATGGGTGCTTCGCAGAGGAAGATGTAGGGGCCCTGGGGACTTGGGGCTCATGACTTGCTTGCAGCTGCTCTGGCCCCCCTCCTCCCAGGAAGCAGGGACGGACACTGCCTGGCCTGGTTCCTGCTGGCTGTGCACCCCCAGGGGGCCCTGCACACAGTAGGCGGGACTTTGGTTTCTGCTTGGGCCATGAGGCCTGCATCAGGCAGGAAAGCCCCGCTTGGCCATCTGTCCCTGGAAGCCAGGGGCCCCCAGGAGCATGGTGAGGTGTTGACGTCCAGCCCAGAGCGGCCCCTTCTTCCTCAGGCTCCTCCAGCTCCTGGCCCTTCCCGGCAGGGCCACTCTCCTGTCCCCGGGCCTGGTGGGAGGAGGGAGCTCTCTGATACCAGTCCTGGGACCTGTGTCCTCTTGTGCCCTTTCTGTTGAGAGGGGCAGACTTCCAGGTAGCCGGGCCTAGAGGGGTTGAACAGTGCTGGGGAGGGCGGGTGTGACAGGTACCCTGAGGGTCCTCAGGCTCCAGCTCTACCCTCTGCATCCCGCTGTGTGTGTCGCTTGGGGTGGGCTTGGAGTTTAAGTGTGGCCCCGGAGGCCCTCCCCCACCCCCAGCTCTAGGCTCAAGGGCGGGGCCTCAGTTGTCCAGGCCCTGACTGTAGGGTGTGGTCAGCTCCTCGGCGTCGCTGTCGGAGCTGCCTTCGCTGTCCTTGGCTGGCCGCTCCAGGCTGCGGAGGAAGCGGGCGTCTTGGGGGGACAGCGGGTAGAGTGTATCCTGCAGGGCTGTGCCCACGCCCATGCCCAGCAGCTCCTCATCGGACGATGGCAGCGAGTCCTCATCCAGGTGCCGTGCCAGCCCTAGCCCGTCGAAGGCCAGTGGGTCCTCGAAGGACGGCGGGCCCTTCAGCAGTCGTACCTGGGGCGGGATGGCACACTGGATGGCACCCCTGCCCCCTGGCACCCTCCTTGCCCGCACCCCAGGCGGACACTGACTCCTGGCTGGTCACCCAATGAGGACACGCAGGGCTCACCTCGGCCTTCAGCTCCTCTATCTGGTCCTTGAGCTCCCGGATGTACTGCGAGGAGTCCGAGTGGTTCAGCTGGCCCTGGATGCGGCCCTCCTCCCTCTGTGGGTGAGCCAGGTTCAGGGGGGCAGGCAGCATCCGGGCCTGGAGCACGCTCCGCCCCGCCCTCACCCCTCACCTGGATCTCCAGCTCCGCGATGCGCTGCCGCATTTCAGCCACCGCGGCCATGCTGTCCGCCTCCCGCAGGCGCACCGCCATCACCTCCTCCTTGCTCTGAGGGCAGTGGGGAGAAGGCGGGTCAAGGGCGAGGCGGGCAGGGGTGGGGGCGGGAAGGCGGGATCCGGGAAGGGGGCACCTTGCACTCGGCCTCGGCCTGCTTGCGGCGGCTTTCGCTCAGCTGTGTCTGCAGCCCCTTGTTCTGCGCGGCCAAGTACTGCAGCTTCTCCTGCAGCGCCGCGCGCTCCGCCTCCACGCGGTTCAGAAGGTTGCGGTGGATGTGGTCCTGGAGGAGGGAGGACGTGCGGGCGGGGGTCACGGCCTACCAAGGAGGCAGCCGTGAGCACCCAGACCCCGAGAAGGCGGCTGCGGCCCACCTGCGTCTCCAGCTCCACCACGCGCTGCCGCAGGTCTCTGCCCTCGGCCAGGGCCTGGGCCTCGCGCAGACGCACGCTCATCAGCTCGTCCTGCAGCTCGCCCAGGACCAGCTTCCGCGGGGACTCCTTCCAGCGGCCCCCGCGGGACAGATGGGCCTGCCGAGAGAGGCTGGTGGTCAGCCGGGGCTCTTATACGCACGGAGGGTGGCCGACCTCCTGGGCGCACGGGCGAGCGCCTCACCTGCCAGGTGTCCGAGAGCTCCTGCAGCTGCAGCTTCAGCTCCCGCGCGGAGGCCACGGCCTGGCCCTCCCGCACCTTGAGTGCCCTGAGCTCCTCCTGTAGCTGGGCCACGTTGTTCTCGTCAGGCAGGGAGCTGTTCCTCTGAGGGCACAGGAGTGGTCAGCCTGGGGCAGCCGGCAGCCAGGCACCCCCTTCCTGAGGGCCAACAGGCCTTTCCTCATTTCTTGTGGGCTCCTCTTGGGCTGGGCCCATGGGGAGCAGATCCACCTCTGTGGCCCCAGCTGTAGATTCTCAC